CAATACACGGTGGCATAGTACGGTCATATGCACGTGGACGTCGACGTGCGGGACGTTCCCGGGCCCCTTCCCGCAGGACATGCTGCTCTCGCGCGAGCAGTTCCCCCTGAACACCCGCCACATGCAGGTCAGTGCGGGGGGGCTGCGCCTGCAGCATGCGGAGCAGCACCGGCGCGATGGGGTGGTTGTGGAGGGTGTACAGGGGGAACTGCTCGCGCGAGAGCAGCATGTCCTGCGGGACGGGGCCCTGGGACGTGCCGCACGTCGAGCTGCACGTGCCTTGCACCGTGCCTTGCACCGTGCCTTGCACCGTGCCTTGCACCGTGCCTTGCACCGTCGGCGCGGCGTACTCCATCTCGCCACTGCACGAGGGGCCCGCCCGGCGGCCGGCCGCGCCAGCCACGCCGCAGCCCGCGCCAGGCTGCATCGAGGCGACAAACGCAGCGGCGACGGCGTAATCGGCGATGGCGGCGTTGGGCGCGACGCCCTGTGCCTCCGACGGGCCGCCGTCCCTCGCATCGCGCAGCACTCCGAGGAAGTGCGAGACTGCGCCCATCTCGTCGGTGAGGGGCGTGACGGTCAGGTCATTCTCAAACGCGGACTGGTCCTTCTTGTAGTTGACGAGACGGACGCGCGCGGGCCGCTGCTGCGCGAGCGCAGCGTGCAGCTCATTCAGCACCTGCCGGTCCGTCGCGGCCCCCTGCAGCAGTTTGAACGTCTTGCCCACCGCCTCGTTGGCGGCGTAGCCGCAGAGGCGGCACCACGCAGCGTTCACATGCACAATCCGAAACGGCGGCTCGCTCAGGGTGAAGGCTTGGGCCTGAGAGCTGGTTGCGCTGTCAATCACAGTCTGGAGGAACGGGGCCGACATTCGGCGCGGCCTGCAAGGGAGCGGGGCGCGCAGCACGTCAGCGCGCGGGTCGCCGGCTGCAGCGTGCGCGCGTGGGGCCGGCGGAACGCGCGCGCGCGGGAGGGAGGGGTGTTGGTGCCCGGGGTGCGGCGGCGCGAGGTGGCGGGCTGGCGGCGCGGTGGGGGCGGGCTCGCCTCTGCCTCCTGCCCGAGCCGCGGGGGCTGATCAGTCTCCTCCTCTCGCCGCGCGGGTGGGTGAGGTAGGTTTGGTGTTGTGCCGAGACCCGACTTTTTTCTCGCCCGCTCCCCCCCACCCCCCCCCCCCGCGGTGACTCCTCTCGCCGCGGTGAGGCAGGTTTGGTGCCGACGACACTTTTTGTGCCCGCTCCCCCACCCCCCGCCCCCAAGCCCGGCCCACGGAATGCTTACCCGAACTGAAGAATGCAGAGAGTATAGAGACAGAGGGGCGGGATGCCGGGGGGCCCGAGCCGCACGGCTTACCCTTGACTCCCGCTCCCCGGGCCGGCCCCGCGGCGCGTGAAGAGCGCGATCAGGTTTTTGCTCGCCTTCCCTGGGACCCCGTGTTGCGTGATTGTCTCTGTGCGATTTCGGGCCCCGGGTTGTGCGTTTGTTTGTGTGTTTGCGTTTATGTGAAGAACATGAGGTCCTGCGACGACGACATGCACGAGTTAGGCTGTATCCATGTATGTATGTTTCCGCGCGCACCCCGTCTCGTTTCCTTTCCGTGTTTCTCTACAGCACCCTCTCGTTTCCTCTCTAGTTTCCCGGGGAAACTCCGTGGAAATCAGCTGATTTGGGCCCAAAATCAGCCAAATCGGCAAAATACCCTCCATCCAGGTATTTATTTTCCTCGGTTTCGCCTCAGATTTTGCCCCAGACCAGCTCTCAGACTCAGGGAAACTCGAGAGTTGCCAGAATGGAGCTCCAAACACCCTCTGGTTTCCCTGGAAATTTCCGGAAACGAAAAGTGCTGGGGACCCTCTGGTTTCCTTTTTGGTTTCCGGAAACATGGATGACTACAGGCCAATGCACGAGGCAAAACGTCGTGCACCCACCTTCGTGAGTAGTCCGCCGCGCGCCTCCTCGCCACTGCTCTGAGAGCAGCTCTCGTTCTCGCTCGTAAGAATGCCATCGAGCCACCTTCGTCCGCATTGAGCGCGCTTGTCGAGCTGGGCGTGATCCACCTACAATGCTGTCTTAAGGTCCGACAGGTTCGGCAACGGGCACCGCCTCGGTATACAAAATGCGCCTGCGGGCGGACCCTCACAGATCACAGATCACAACGCGCTTGTCGGACCTTAGGACAGCATTGTAGATCCCTGGGCGAGGGTGGTGGAGGGAGGGGGCGGTCCGGCGGCGGAGCAACCACCTCCTCCCGACGTGTCAGCAGGCAGGATGTCATCCCCCGTGATCCAGACTGCCCCGTTGGAGGTAGGCCGCTCGTCTAGCCAATCAGCCTTAAGCGAGCGGCCTGGCCGTTGGAATGGCCTGAGACCGGTCCCCGTCGGGAGGGAGGACTGTTCTGACAGAGGAGATCTCCCACCGTCACCTCACCAGCGTCCCGGTGAGTACGGCGATCAGACCCCCTCCCGCGCTGTGATTCTGTGTGAGCTCTGTGTCTTGATTTGCCAACAATAAACCTAAAACAAAAGGATCAAAACGGCTTCGCTTTTTCCTTCTGACTCTCTTTCTTGACTCTCCTGGGGGGGGGGGGGCGGGCCCCCCCGCCTGCGCCCGCCGCCGGTGAAACGAACTCAGTCCACAATGTATATGGAGCTTGCGCAGGACGACCTGGCCGCGGACGCAGGCTGCGAGGAGAGCGAGGACGCGCAACCGCCTCCGCCCGCGGACGCACGCTGCGAGGAGAGCGAGGACGCGCAACCGCCTCCGCCACCACTCGAACGTGAAATATGCGTCCGCTTGGACCCGCAGAACGAGTGCTTCGACGTGCTTGACCGGCACGATGGGCTCGGGTACACGCTCTCCATGTCCGACCTCGAGGAGCAGCTCTGTGGCTTCGACGCTATCGAGGACGTGTTCCATCTGGTCCGTGAGGATGGCACCACGCGCAATGATCCTCGTGTCTGGATGGCCAAGCAGCAGGCGGAGCGGGAGCTCGACGGTCCTCCCATTATGCCTTGCGTGGACCGAGAGACGGGGGTGAGAAGCTTCAGGAATCTTGTGCCCCTGGCGCAGTACCGGCTGGTGGTCCAGCGGGCCCGTGCGGTGGCCCTTCTCGATACGCCAGCGCCGGTCAAGGGGCTCAAGGCCCTCGACATTCGCGTCGACGACGTTGCAACAGGTGAGGATGCGGCGTCGTGCTCGTGCCTCGAGGGCAACCCGTGTGCCCAGGCGTATGGTTGCAAGGACTGGGCGCGTCGGTTCGAGGTTGCGAGGCGCAATGGTTGGAGGGGGTGATGTGGGACGGCTGCGCGGGCGAGTGCTCAAGGTGCCGGGCGACGAGGGCAAGCGAGGAGACGGACGAGCACCCTCTGCGCACCATGCACGCTCGGGGAAGGCCGGACGTGAGAGAGCGATGGCGAACCTTATCCGGCGCCGACCGCCGCCGGCACGCGCCGGGCGGGGCGGAGCGGGTGAGGTTTGGCAACCCTGAGAGGCACGAGCGCGGCACGGGGCTCGAGCCGCGCGGTCCACATCTCTATCTGTGGGTGGACCACGCCCAGCTCCCCTCGACAAGCGCGCTCAATGCGGACGAAGGTGCTCGATGGCATTCTTACGAGCGAGAACGAGAGAAGCTGCTCTCATAGCAGTGGCGAGGAGGCGCGCGGCGGACTACTCGCAATCGACTTTGCCCCCCCCCCCCCCCGCCCCTCTCGTCTGCCTTCTCCCCGCCCAGCTCCAAATGAATCGAGGTCGTCGTTTGTCATCTGTGCGAGCTTAGCTCTCGAGAAATTAATTTTTCTTCCGGAAGAGACGCCAACCCCATCCTTGAGTCGCCGACTTCGCACTTCCCGCCTTGAGCCGCCAACCTCGGCCTACTTTGAGAAATGGCGGTTCCTGTCGCCGCAACCGCCGCCCAGTACAAGGCACACCGGCCCTCCTCCCCTCGCCGCCCCGCCCTCGCACCCCGCACGCGATCAGTCCACCACCTCCTCCACTTGCACATCCGCTGGCGTGAGCGGCGGCGGTCGAGACCTCACCCTTCGCGCCGACGACCCAACCTTACGCGGAACAACCCAATGCCCAACCAACCCAACCCAACACCAAACAACCCCACTGAAAGCACGATTCTCCTGTTGGGCCCTCAGGTTCCGGACGGAGAGTGGGCGGTCGGCCCGTGGGACTGCTGCAGCGACCCGGGCGCGGGCTGCCTGGTGTGCTGCTGCGCCCCCTGCGCCCTCGGCCAGATCAAGGAGATGGTCACGACCGGAAACGCGTCGACTGGCTTCATCGGCGACATGGAGACCTGTTGCCTGTACTGGCTCGTCCAGGGTTGCACCGGTGAGCGACACCAAATCGCCACCCCGATCACCGTTGTCCGCATGACACCCCTCCCGGCTTTCAGGATGCGGGTTCCTCATCTCCATGGGCGTGCGGACCGAGCTCCGCAACAAATACAAGCTCCCCGAGACGCCGTGCGGCGACTGCCTCTTCAACTGCTGCTGCGGCTGCTGCGCGATCACCCAGGAGCTGAAGGAGGTCCGCACCCGGGTCGTCAACGGAGGCCCGGACTCGGTCGAGATGGCCCGCTGAAGAGTGCACCAAGAAGTGCATTTGGTGCACCTCTGTCTCCCTCGCGTCAAAGCGGAGAGGCTATTGCGCCTCGTGTGAATATCGTTGCAGCCACCCTCGACGACGCGGCTCCCCACAGCCCAACCAGAAGCAAGGAGAAGCTATGGGACGCGCTCTTTAGCATGATTCATTATTGTGGGAGGGTGGGCGTCCCCGACACTGTCTATGTCATGTTTGCAGCTCATGTGATCCCAAACGAGTCCCTGTGAGCTGTGCCTGTGTGGTGAGGAGTGAGCCGGTGGGCTGGCGTGGGCGACGCTGAATCACTGAAAGGCCCCTCGGTGTGCTCACGCCCACACGGCCACCCTCCCCCTCCCTCGCCCCTCTCTGTCTCTGTTCTACATTCTTCATGAATGTCTTGCTAAGTGCCGACTGCCCTCGGATATGGTTCGCAACCACTCGAACGACCAACGACGGGGTGCGCGGGGGGCGGGGGGCGGGGGGGGGGGGGGGGGAACCGGCCAAAAAAAAATCGGGTCTCGGGACAACACCAAACCTACCTCACCCACCCGCGCGGCGAGAGGAGGAGACTGATCAGCCCCCGCGGCTCGGGCAGGAGGCAGAGGCGAGCCCGCTCCCACCGCGCCGCCAGCCCGCCACCTCGCGCCGCCGCACCCCGGGCACCCACACCCCTCCCTCCCGCGCGCGCGCGTTCCGCCGGCCCCACGCGCGCACGCTGCAGCCGGCGACCCGCGCGCTGACGTGCTGCGCGCCCCGCTCCCTTGCAGGCCGCGCCGAATGTCGGCCCCGTTCCTCCAGACTGTGATTGACAGACAGCGCAACCAGCGCTCAGGCCCAAGCCTTCACCCTGAGCGAGCCGCCGTTTCGGATTGTGCATGTGAGGCATTCTTTTTCATCGGTGGGATATTTTTTCTTGGGCTCGTACTTGGCCAAGCTGGTTTTGTTTTTTGTTGCTCTCATCGAGTGCGACGTTCCGAGTACGTCTGAAAGACTTCAGCATGCCCTCCTCTCTACTCCCCGCTCCTCCCGGCTCCTCCCGGCTCCTCTCGGCTCTTTCCTTTATCGCTCTCGCAGTTTTCAGAGCTTTCCTTCGATGTTATGAAAAAAAGAAGGCGGAGACTCCGCCCATATCGCAGGCCCACTCTGCGCCACTCTTGAGGCGTTGGCGAGGGCCGGTGAGGCGGCGCCCCGCGCGGCGCGTTAGTGAGTTGAGCATGCCCATGTCAATCTCCTCGTCCTCGGAGCGGCTCGGTGGCCGCACCTTCATCACCGCTGGGCTCCGCTCCGAGGCCGAGTCGGCGCCGCCCTACGAGAAGCTGCTTGCGACGAGCCCGCAGCTGCCCAGGGAGGATCAGTCGCGAGCGGAGCCGGTGCGTGGCGCCGCCGACGGCCGTGGCCGCTTCCGCTACGGCTGGCTGCTCTGGCTCGCCATCGCGTCGGCCGCCTGCCTGCCACCGATCGGCGTCTCGAACCTGCAGGCCATCTGCGTCGGCGGCCTCTTTGTGGTCGCATGGATGGCGTACAACATCTCTCTCAAGAGCCTGGTCTGCTCGTGCATCTACCTGGCGCTCGAGGTCTTCTTCCGCGAGATCGGGTCGCGCAACACCTACAAGGTGCCGCCCGAGGGCTCGCCCGTCCTCTTTGTCTGCGCGCCGCACGCCAACCAGTTCCTCGACCCGTTTGTGGTGATGATGGCGCTGGGCCGGCAGGACATCCACTTCCTGACGGCGGCCGCGTCGATGCGCAAGTGGTACGTCCGCTTCGTTGGCGAGACGTTCGGCGCAATCCCGGTCGAGCGGCCGCAGGACGCGCGCCGGCCGGGCAGGTGCTCGGCGAGACAGTTCCGAGACAGTTCCCTCTCTCCGCGACACATGCCTCACTGTGCCACCCGTGCCCGCCCGCTCGCAGCGGCGAGGTGCGCCTCTCGCCCGAGGACGGCCGCACGTTGCTCGGCAGCGGGACGCGCTTCCGCTCGGAGCTGCAGCCGCGCGACCAGGTGGCGTGGGGCGGCCGGCGGGGCGTCGTCGCAGAGGTGCGCCGACGACGCGCTGCGACCGACACACGTCGAGGACACGCCCAGGACACGTCCGAGACATGTCCCATAGGTGCTTGCCGACGATGCCCTGCGCCTCGCAGCGCCGCCGCGCCGCGGGGAATGCGGCGGTGGGGGAAGCGGCGGGAGCGGCGGGAGCGGCGGCGGCGGGAGCGGTGGCGGAGGCGGAGGCGGAGGCGGAGGCGGGAGCGGAGGCGCAGGCGGGAGCGGAGGCGGTGGCGGGAGCGGGAGCGGCGGAGGGAGCGGCGGCGGCGAGGAGGCGGGCGCGGAGGGCGACGACCCCCCCCTCCCCTTTGTCATCACGCCGCACCTCGACCAGAGTGCGATGTTTGGCGCCGTGCATGCGGTGCTCGCCGCCGGCCCAGAGTTTCGTCGGCCACCGTCCAAGACACACGTCCGTGACGCGTCCGTGCGGACGCGTCCGCAGGCGCTCGCCGCCGGCCAGTCGGTCGGCATCTTCCCCGAGGGGGGATCACACGACCGCGCCTCGCTCCTGCCGCTCAAGGCGAGCATCGAGACGGCGGTCTGCTCGCCACGGTCCGCCGAGCGGTTGGTGCTTGCCACTTAGGCGGGCATCGCGATGATGGCTCTCGGAGCGGTCGCCAAGCACCCGCACTTGCGGCTCAAGCTGGTGCCCGTGGGGCTGCACTACTTCTCGGGGCGCGCGCCCCTAGTCGCTGAACCCAGATCCTGGTCTTCCGCTGGTAGCCACGCGATGCTCTATATCTCCCCATATCTCCCCGTATCTCCGCCATATCTCCCCACATCTCCCCACCTCTCCCCACATCTCCCCACATCTCCCCACGCCTCGCCCACGTCCACTCTGAAGACTATGCGGCATGGCGATGCCCCACACCGGCTGAGCGCAGTCAGGGTGTTTAAAGCCGTGCTCCCACCGTCTCTTCCCCGCGCTCCTCCCCTGCTGCACACAGGCACAAGTTCCGCTCGCGCGTGTTCCTCGACATTGGCGCGCCGCGCGACGTGTCTCGCCCTCTTCTCGCCCTCATCTCGGCTCATCTAGGCTCATCTCGACCGCATCTCCCGCTCAGGCGAGCCGCTCGACGTGCCGCCCTCGCTGCTGCAGCGATACTACGAGGGCGGGGAGGCGCAGAAGGGCGCGGCCGCCGCGCCGCCCTCCGAGCTGCGGGCTCGTCCTAAGGCCGAGAAGGCTGATGCCATGCCAGGCGCGACCGCCGCGCTGCTCTCCGTCGTCGAGACGGCCCTCGCGGCTGTCACCGTCTCGGCGCCCGACTACGAGACGCTCGAGTTCTTCTGGACGTTGCGCAGGCTGATCAAGACCGGGACGGGGCCGATGTCGCTCTCTCAGCAGGCCACCTTCGCACGACGCCGCCGCGGCGCTCCACTGCCTTCCTTCCCGTCATCGCGCCCACGCCTGTCTGACTCAGGTCAACTTCGCGCGACTCTTCGCCGCGGCGCACACCCGCGCGGTCGCCGAGGCGGAGCCGCCGACCGACGACGACGCAGGCTCGCCCGAGGCGCCCCCGCGAGGCGACGTGTCGGAGGGCGGCGGCGGCCGCCTCTCGCTCGGCACCCTCACGCGGCTCAAGGTACCCGAATCCACCCTCCCATACCCCAAGGCATCCGAATCCATCCTCACGCGGCTCGAGGCGATCTCCACACACAAAGACATCTCCCCCACACCTCGCCGCATCACACACTTCGCCCCACATCTCCCCCCACACTTTGCCCCACACCTCGCCCCACACCTCGCCCCACACCTCGCCCCACACCTCGCCCCACACCTCGCCCCACACCTCGCCCCACACCTCGCCCCACACCTCCCCCACACACCTCCCCCGAGGCACCCGCGGCTCGCAGGCGATGGCCGCCGAGTACAACTCGACGCTAAAGAGCTTCGGGCTGCGCGACTACCAGGTCGTGTCGGTGATGGCGCACATGGGCCGCGGCCGCGCCGCCTCACTGCTCGCGCTGCGCGCGCTGCTGCTGGTGGTGTACGCCGTCTGCCTCGCGCCGGCGTCGGTGCTCGGGCTGCCGCTCCTGCTTGCGCGCGGCGTCGCCTCGCTCAAGGCGCGGCAGGCGGTCGCAAAGTCGAGCGTCAAGCTCAAGGGCACCGACGTCGTCGCCACGTGGAAGCTGCTCGTCGCCCTCGTCCTTGTGCCTCTGATGTGGTGCGGCTACACCGCCGCGGCCTGCATCCTCGGCGAGGCGCTGCCGCCTCCGTGGAGCGACGAGGTCTGCCTGCTCGCCTTCTTCTTCCTGCCCTTCCTCGCGTACGGCGCCGTGCTGGCCGGCGACCGGCTCCTGGGCGTCGCGCGCTCGCTGCCGCCGCTGCTCGCGGTGGTGCTCTACCCCGACTACCGCTGGCAGATTGTCGACCAGAGGCGCGCGCTGCTTGAGGCGATGCAGGCGCTCGTGGACGAGCACGGCTGGCTCGACGAGGAGCGGGGCGCCCCGTCACCGGTCGCCTCGCCGCTGCAGTCGCCGCAGACGCCGCCGCTGAGGTCGGGGTGACGCGGAGAAGTCCCACGATCGCCCCGGCCGCCCTCAAGGTCAAGCCACGCGCATGTCACAACCCATGTCCGCCGGGGTGTTGTACGTGTTTGCATGAGAGTATACCAGAGAGTCCCCAACATTTCTCTTGCGTTTGCGTTGTTCTGTCGTTGCATTAATGAGAGGCCAGCAGGCCGACGCGACGCGTCTCTCCTCATGAAAAAACGGTCTCGGTGACTCGGTGGACGCTGCAAGCCGGCGCACACCGCACTGGGCACTCGCTTGTGCCGGCGTAGCCTGTCCGCTCGTCGCAGTAGCTGCCCAGTTTCCAGCGCGCCGTGAGCTGCGGCTGCAGCCGGCCCAGCAGCTGCGCCTTGGCGATGGGCACCTTCGAGGCGACCATGCGGGAAGAGACCCAGGTAGGAGCAGCGTGGTCCGCGCAAGACCCGAGCCCCCGCGAGGACCGAGGTTCACAGCGTGGAGTGGCTCCGGCCTCTGGGGCTATACCAGACATAATTTTCATTTTCACCCAGGTGGCGAGGATGGACGGGTGGGGGGTGCCTCCGGGGCGAGCCGGCCGCCGCGAGTGCGGACGGCAAGCCGCCTCCCCACCTCGCCATATCAGCGATGCGATTCCTCCGTCAGGACTGGGAATACCTGACCCCGATCCCCGAGTCGGGGGCCCCTGCGGTGAACCCTGCCGCCCCTCTCTGTCACGATGCGCTCCCCACTCCCTTCTCCCGTTCCCTCTTGCCCCGGACGCGTCCTTCCAAGATCCGTGCTCTGCAGCGCGTCGGGCGGTGGGGGTAGTGTGAGGTCACGCTGCCTTCTTGTAGCACGACGCCCCAGCAACGGGCAGCGTCGTCAGATACAGTATCCCAGGAGTGGTCCAAGGGAAGCACACTTAAAAATTAAAAAGATCCAAAAAATGAGAGTCCACAGAGGTCCACAAGGATGGGAGCGCTTTTTGCTCCTCTGTCTCGACCCTCCGCGTGCGGCGAGCGCAACCGGCGGGCAGGCCAACGCGGGACAACGTTTTCTTTTTTGCTCTCGAGGTCTCAAATCCTCTCCCCTTTTTGAGCGCGAAATCAGGCCGATTGCTGCCCCCGGATCCCCTAGCCTCCTCCGCAACTCCTCACTGACGACCGCCGCTCGCAGATAAAGAGCCACCATGCCACAGCCGACCTACTCGGGCACCAACTCGCAGGGCAACTCGGTGCGCCACCCTTGCGATGCTTTGACTTGCACGTTGTGACCTCTCACCGTTTTCATCCTTGTCCGCCGCAGTACACCACCTACAACAATGGCGGCTACTCGTACAACAACGCGCCCTCCTCCTCCAACAACTCGCAGGGCTCGCACTACTACTCGCCCTCGGGCAACACGAGCGGCTTCTACACGCAGAACGGCGGCAAGAGCGGCGGCGGCTACTCGTACTACCAGAACTCCGCCGGCGAGCGCTCGTACAAGTGAGGTGCTCTTCGAGTGGCGTGCGCAATGAAGCGCAGAGCCCGACATCGTGGCCTTCGGAAAGTGTGCTCCACTGCTGCGAGGTGTGGTGGTGGCAGCGCGCCCGCTGCCCCGTGCAGGGTGCAGCCGTGCTTGGGCGCGTTGGGGGTCGTGTCAGTGAGATCTGAGAACTCCCGGGGGCTCCTCTGTCCGAGGTGTGTGTACCCGGTGCTGTGGACGGTGGCGTGGTGAGTGGCGTGCTATTATGATATGTCAAGACAGAAAAAATCAAACCAAGGGAGCGAGCAGAGTGCGATCGTGGATCGAGCGGCGCTCTACACGATCACTGGCAACTGGGGTCTGGTGGCCACGGGCCACCTCTCTGCACACAACGCCCCGAGGGCTCGATCGAGTCGCTCACTTCACACGTACGATATTCGAACCACCTCGATTGCTGACGCGTCGCGGACGCACCACTCCATGTTAGTCGACGCGGTCGTCTCCTCTGCGCGGCACGCGTCTGCGGCGGGGGCAGAGTGCTGAGTGCCGGTCAGCCGGTGGCGGAGAGGGCGTGGACAGAGGGCGCCAGTGGGAGGGATAGGGGTGCGGGCCGGACCGTAGCCCTCGCCCTGCCAGCCGTAGTCGTTCGACAGGACGTACTTTGGGTTTCTGACTGTGACGAGCAGCTCGACGAGTCCGCCTATGCGCGACAGGCAGGCGGGCCAGCACGGTGTGATGCGGAGGGAGGCAACAGAGAGGGAGGGAGGGAGGGAGAGAGGGAGGGAGGGAGGAGGAGGGGGAGGAGGAGGAGGGTGTGTGTGTGTGTGTGTGTGTGTGTGTGTGTGTGTGTGTGTGTGTGTGTGTGTGTGTGTGTGTGTGTGTGTGTGTGTGTGTGTGTGTGTGTGTGTGTGTGTGTGTGTGTGTGTGTGTGTGTGTGTGTGTGTGAGGGAGGGAGGGAGGGAGGGAGAGAGGGAGAGAGGGAGAGAGGGAGAGAGAGGGAGAGAGAGAAGAGAGAGGAGAGGGAACGCCACTCTCTTCTTCTGTTTGAAGCATCTAGCTGCGCCGGCCGGGCTCGCCCGTCTGCACGGAGCGCATCTCCGCAAAGCGCCGCGCCTTGTCCTGGCGCGCGACGTACGTCCCTCTGCCGAGGCAGCCGCTCTCGGACGGCACGAAGCCCTGCTGCTCGATCGCGCACGCCTTGGCCCACGTGGTGCCGTGGAAGAACCTCAGCCGCTCCGGCTGCGGCGTCGAGTGAGTCAGCTTGAGGTTCGCGTTGACGTGCTGGCCGTCCCGGCACGCCGGTCGGTTCTGCGTGTGCTGCATGAACGACGAGAGCTGGCCGAATGTTTTACCGCAAGCGTGGCACTGGTAGTTGTGCCCACTGTCAGAGTAGCCGCCTCCAACCTGGCCGTCGTACGTGAGCATGCGCGGGTTGGTGAGGAAGCGGCTCCCGCCCGGCTGATTCGCCACGAGATCGTACGCAGCCCGCCGGGCCGCGTCCTTGCCTCGGCAGGCGTTGCACGAGCCGCTCTCAAAGTGCATCGCAGCGTCCGTCATACCGCGATACAGCTCGCCGCAGCCCGGGCAGGGGAAGGAGCGCGCCCGATGCGTGTGCCGGTGCTGCGCAAGGGAATTTGCATCGGCGAAGCGCTTGCTGCACTCGGGGCACTCAAAAGCAAAGGTCTCCTGCCCGTAACTTGAGTCGCCGCCCTGAGTGCAGACGTAGCAGCGCGGGTACTCCTTCTTCAGCTGTCGCGTGGAGAAGTCCCGCCGAGCGCGGTCGCAACCACAGTCGCTGCAGTAGACCATCAAGGTGGCGTCGCGGACACACTCGTTAACGATCGAGTGGATACTTCAGGCCGCCACGCCGGCGGCTCGGCCACGACACGAAAAGCGAGGGAAAAATTCCGCCGCTGAGGGCGCTCGTGCGGCAATAGCCGGGTGGAGGGGGGAGCGTGCCGGACGGGGCGTCGTCGCGCCGTCCGATGGTCTGCTGCCCCGCGCAGCAACCGTCGGGCGACGACCCGGGGGCCAAAAACCCGGCGACGACGGCGCTCTGGATGGGGCGTGACCTCCTGCCTCCAACCTCCTTCCTTTTTGAGCAGGTGTGACGCCGCGCGAGCGACGCTCCGAGATCGCCCGAGATAGCGCGGCGCGGCCCCGAGATCGCCCGAGATCGCCCGAGATCGCCCGAGATCGCGCGGCGCGGCCCGGGGCGGGGTGGATGGGTTGGGAGCGAGGGGGCGAAAGTGTTCAGTGCGGTAGATGTTAAGCTCGAGGCGCGTGAGCCGGACTTGTGAGCCGGACCACCCCCTCTTGTTCCCGTGACTCAACATACTCGGGCTGTCCATCCCAAACTGTCACTCCCCTTTCTCCCGGCCGGGGTGGGGCGCGCGCGGGGGCGGCGGGTGTGCGGGATGTCTGTGGGCCCGAGAGCGATATGCCATGTCCCGCCTTGCTTTGTTTCCAACATCGAAGGCTAAGCTCAAAACGAAAGAATTTAGAAAAAGAAAGAAAGAAAGAAAACAGACAACCCAAGGGAAAGAATTTAGAAAGAAAGAAAGAAAGAAAGAAAGAAAACAGACAACCCAAGGGAGGGATGGGAGGACGGCACGCCGCCACCACACAGGGATTTTTTAAGGAGAGGTGTGTGGTGCGCTAGCCGTCGCCCACCCTAGGGAGTCTGCCTCTTCCTATCTCTCTTCGCAGTCTCTCGCCGATTCTCGCTGCAACCTTCATGCCACCTCGCGGTCGTCCCACTCTCGTCGTTCTCTCCCTTGTCACTTCCTCCTCTGTCGCGTCGTTCTCTTCTGCCTCGTCCTGGAAAGAATTTAGACCCGCAACGAAAGAGGCCGCAAGAATTCTTCTAAGCACGACAGGGCCGGACTGGCGCGGACTGGCACCACACCGGCTCACCACCGGAGCCTGACGAGAAAGAAGCGCCCGAAAAGGTCGAACCACATGCCAACCTGCGCGCTCCCCGGCTGCACCCGCCCCGTCCACATCGATCCTACCTCGGGTATCGCCCACGACTACTGCGGCCGCACGCACGCCAGCGAAGCGCTCGGCGGCGGCCTCGCCGCACCACACGGCGTCTGCCACACCTGCAGGCTGCCAGGTTGCAACGAGCCTGTCCTCTATGACAATGGCCGCGTCCACGAGTACTGCTGCCGCCGCCACGCCGACGAGGCGTTGGCCCGCGGGCTCAGGCCCGCCTCGAACCGGCCGCTGCAGGGCCAGAGCACACCGGCCAACCGCTGCTCTCTGCCCGGCTGCAGCGCCCCTCGCTTCGTTGACCCGACTAATGGCTTCACCCACGACTTTTGCGGACGCACACACGCACGCGAGGCCACCAGCCTCGGCCTGCTGCCGGCCGCCGCCTCTGGCGTCCCTGCAGCAGCAGTCGAGCGTGTCTGGCGCGGCCGCACTGGCGAGCCCGCCTACACGCTCTCGGTGCTGACAAATGCGCACCCCAAGTATGAGGGCATCAAGCAGCAGTTCCGCGATGCGTGGGAGCACACCGCGCAGAAGCCGATCGTCCGCCGCGTGCTGCAGGTCTGTTCTTTCTCCCCAAACCCCTTCTCCGCCGCCATCGTTGCCCGTCTCCACTGCCCGCCTACACCCTCTCAGGTGCGCAACAGCGCAGCAGTCTTTGCGCGGTATGAGGCGTACAAGAACGCCGTCGGCAACGAGCAGCGCCGCTTCCACGGCACTTCAATGGCCCCGGGCTGCTCCTTTGGCATCGATGTGACGCAGCCGCCGTGCACAGACCCGGCGTGCGCCGTGTGCAGGCGAGAAGCAGTCTTCCGAGAAGATTCCACCACTGTCCGCCTCACACTCTCATCAGAGGGCTGGCCGCCTCGACTTCCTCGGTCCGCTCCCTCGCTGCCTCTGCCGCCATCCGACGCCCCTCGCGCCCATGTCGCAGCATCTGCGCCTCCTCATTTGACCTCCAGCACGCCGGCTCCGGGAGGCTCGGCGCCGGCTTCTTCCGCTACGGCAAGGGCCTCTACTTTTCGCGCGTCTCGTCAAAGTCGAACGGTGCCTGGCCTAGAGGCGCTTCGTGGGTGGTTGCAAACTTGTGGGGCCCTGAGGGAGGGTGTAGAGGACGTGTAACCTGTAGGGCTGCCCGTCAGACGCTTGACTCGCCGCCTGGCGTCGCCCCTCTCAGACTACAACGCGGGCTCGCAGCGCGAGAACCCGCGCAGCCTGCCCGGCGGCACGTACAAGTGCATGTTCCTTTGCAAGGTGGCCGAGGGTGCATCGCACCGCTCCAAGAGAGACCGGCTGGACGAGTTCGAAGTGGACAGCCTCATCGCTGCGCGCGGCCAGGGCGCCGCCCACGACTCCATCGTGGGCGTGAGCGTCGCCGACGGCGGCGCCATCAACCACGAGGAGACCGTGGTCTACACAAATGAGGCGGCCATCCCGTCGTATCTGATCGTGTACCGCATGCCATGACCCTTTCGATAGAGCGGACGGTGGTCGTGGCATTGCTGATTGCGCATGGCGCCGCGGGGTGCATCGCGTGGGCCGTGCCCGTCTCGGGGGTCGAGAGCCGCCGAGATATGGCGATATGGTCCGATGCGCGCGACATGGGTCATGGCCGGATGTGCGAATGTCCCGGGTGGGCGAGCGCGATGCGCACGTGGTTTTCTTTTCTACCAAAATAAAATGTGCTGTGTTCGATAGGCTTGTATTCTAAGAATTCTTTCTCATGTCGTTTCTTTTACACTTGTCCTCAACGCTATGTCAACGCTATGTACTGTACTGGACTAGATCCGGGTCGCTCGCTAATTCGTCTCTGTGTCACGCCGCCCGCCTCCCTTTCCGCGCCCGGCGCTGCGGCTTGCGGTGGTAGTCGGCGTCGCACGGCGTGCCGTTGTAGCATGTGAGGCAGCAGAAGTGGCCCTCCAAGCCGTCGAAGCTTGCGCTACAGGGGCATCCCGCTCGCGCACACCGCGCATACGGTGCGGCCGCGCCCCCCTGAGTGACAAGGAGGTGGGACATGACAAGACAATCCGGCTGAGTGTCTCACCGTATGTCGGTGTGCTCGAGTGTGTGCTGCTCGTGTGCGCTCGAATGTGTGCTCCGTCTGTTCGCCCCGCGCCCTTCTTTGAGGGAAGTGGTGTCCAGTCGCGGACAGGCTGTGTGTTCGCCTCTCCGTCTGTCTGTCGCAATAGTTCGCCGCCTCGTCGCCGTCGTCGGTGGGCGAGCAAGCGGCCGCGGCGGCGGCAGACTTGCGTGCGTGCGTGCGGCCGCAAAAGTCGTAGACGAAGCCGCTGCCCGGGTCGACGAACCGAGGGGCGACGCAGCCGGGCAGGGAGCACTTGCTTGCCTCCGGTGGGGTGGCGGGGGTGGCGGCGGCGGCAGGAAGGGCGGGCACGGCGGCGGCGGGGACGGCAGCGAGGTCGGCGGCGGAGGCGGAGGCGGCGGCGAGGCTGGCGGCGGAGGCGGGGCTGACAGAGGAGCACCCGCTCGCCTCCGGTGGGGCGGCAGCGTCGCCCGACGCCGCCGAGGCGCCAGGGGCGGGTGGTGGTGGTGGTGATGGTGATGGGGCGGCGGCGGCGGCAGCGGGGACGGCGGCGGCGGTGGGGACGGCGGCGGCGGCGGGGACGGCGGCGGCGGCGGGGACGGCGGCGGGGACGGCAGCAGCGCAGGCGGAGGCGGAGGCGGAGGCGGAGGCGGAGGCGGAGGAGGCGGCGGATGTGGACAAGGGGGGGGCAGACGCGTTGGTGGTGGGCGGGGCTGCAGGAGAGGAGGAGGGCGAGGAGGCTCCGGCGGTGGCGGCTGTGGAGGGGGGTGGGGAGGCGGCTGCGACGGCGGCTGCGGCTGCGGCTGCTGCGGCGGCGGCGGCTGCGAAGGAGGCTGCGAAGGAGGACGAGGCGGAAGCCCCTGTGGCGGAGGCGGCGGCAGAGGGCGAGGACGCGCCGGCGACGGAAGCTGCGGCGGCGGTGGTGGCGGTGGCGGCGGAGGGTGCGGAGGGTGCGACCGTCGCAGAGAGCGCGAGGGCGGCAGACAGCGCCTGGTCGACGGCGTCCGACTCTGGCGATGCGACGTCAAAGAGCAGACGCCCGAGCCACTCCTCCTCCTCCTCCTCCTCAGCGGGGGCCTCGCCAGTCGCGCCGGAGGCATCGTCAGCGGCGCCTCCGCCGGCAAGACTGGTGGCCTCCGCCTGGTCGCTGGAGTCGGCCGCCTGGCCGTCGGCGCCCGCCACCTGCGCCGCCGCCGGGCTCGCAGCCTCTGCCGCGACGAGCGCGCGGTCGAGGGTGGCGAGGTCCTCCTCGCGAAGGACGTCAACAGTCTCGTCCGAGAGGCTGGCCTGGTTGAGCTTCCTCCTCCACGCTGAGAAGCTCTTGCGGCTCACCCCGTGCGCGCCCCACGCGTCCTTGTCGAGCGCAAACTTGCCGGGGTGGGTTCGCTGATCAAGCACCGCGAGCAGCGCCCGGAAGGTCGCCTGCGTCGGCATCGGTGTCCCGAGTGCGTTCGCCAGGCGACGCAGCGCTTTCTGGCACGGGGACGTCAGGGACGGCTCCTCCAGGACGATAGCGGCGGCGGCTTCAAGAGCTGTAGACAGCAGTGGCGACATATATTATCAGACGGGGCGAAAAAGAATTTGGGAATTACACGACACGAAAGTGTGTGCCGCGAAGGCGGGACCACTCGGGGACAGTGCCGACGGGACGCGGCTCGGGAGACGACTCCCACGAAGGCACGGCTGGCACCCGTGGCGTGGGGGCCGCCTCCAAAAAGTCGGGAATGGCTCTCCCCGCAACTCTCTCGCTAACACGCGCCCCACCGAGACTGTGGTGGGCGCGCTGCAGTCGCACGTCTACCTACGTCATAGTGCCACGACGTGCGGCCTAGAATTAGCACACGCGCCTCAGCTCGCAAACACTCACCCATTTGATTGTCACTGTCCGTGAGTGCGAGATTAGGGCTAGCCGCAGGCAGCTAGCCCACGAGGAGGGCGTCCATAGACACCTCACTAGACCCCACATACGGTCTCGTCCGTGCCTCGCCGGCCGGAGAGATTGCTAGAGGTGGAGCATGCTGCTCTAGCCTCACATGTCACTTCCTGTCGTCTGTTGTTTGTTGTGCCCTCAGCAGATATACGAAGGCCGGCCCGCACCCCGGACCTGATCACAGCGCATATTTTCCTTCGAAAACAGCACATAATACTTCAATGTTGGCCCTGCCTCGCACATACGCAGCATATTTTTACCAATTCAGGCCCATCGACGACCGCGTCACGCATGACGTATCATGTATCCGCATATACGTACCCCTTTTCGTCCTGGCGCCACAGCCTGGAGCGCTGACGTGCTACGTATACGCATTATGTTTCTGTACTCGCCAAAACGCCCGCGAGACGATTGCCTGGCGATTTCAGGCGCCCACGCTGCCTTGTGTTAATCCAAATCGAATCCCAATTGTCAAACTTGCGAATCTACGTGCGTCGGTTGCCATGACGCATGATGGCCCCGCCGCGGACCGCGTCGTCACGGCGAGGCGGCGCCCGCGCGCACGCTCTCCGAGTTCCAGAACGCGCAGGGCGGCGTCTTCACGTTCGGCACGATGCTCTCCAACTGGGTGAGCGGCTTCATGGTGAACGATTCGCTGCGCTGCGCGTACGTCGTGCGCGAGATGCACGCGGAGTGCGAGTTTTCCCAACACGCCGCTCGCGCCCGCCGCGCTGTGCAGGCCGTCGACATTCTGCGTGATGATGCCTCCCCGCAGCAGCCCCCTCTCCTGCAGCGCGGAGACGGCAAAGTGAGCCGCGTTTGGCCGAGCCCGCGAAAAGTAGCCGTAGCCGACGTAGGACCGCGCCAGTAGCGGCGCCGCTTGCTCTGATCAGAGACAAACTCCCTGCCTGTGCTGAATGGGCACGTGGCCCTTGGAGTACGAACCGTTGGGCGAGCGGTAGTCGGGAATGCCGGAGGTGGTGGACAGGCCGGCGCCGGTGAGAAGCAGCAGGCGCTCGGCGCTCTGCACGAGCGCGGCCAGCGCAGCAAGATCCCACGGCTCGACCAAGCAAGGCAGAGCGCGGCGCGAGGGACGGGAGCGCAGGCTGCGAGTAGCGGCGCATGCCTAGACCGCCACAACTCGGCCGAAAAGGCCGCGAAATGGAAAAAAAAGCGCGAGAAACGAAATTGGCGAGAAACTGCGGGGCCTCCTTGATGAGTCCAAATTTTTACTTTTTCTGGCCTTCGCGGATGCCAGCATGTGGACCGCGCATCTCGTGGTGCTGCCAGCCGTGGCGCTAGCCTTCACAGATTCGCGACTGCAAGTGCCATCCGCCCGTACCTTCTCGACTGCAACTGCCATCCGCCCATGCCGTGCCACCGCCCCGCCGAGCTTGAGCTTGTTTGACTCACTCGGCAAGGCCTCCGAGAACTCTCCGCAGCCAAGGTCCAGCGGCGACTACTGCACCAGCTGCGGCGAGCCGGTGGGCGACTGGAGATTCTGCGCAAATTGCGGCGCGCCGCTGCCGTATGATGAGCGTCTCAATGGTTACGACCAGCAGCGGCCTTTCGACCAGCAGCGTACCAGAGATAAATCGGCTGACGCATATATGCCACCTCCGCAGCCGTATGGCCAGCTCGCTGCGCCGGACCCCACCTACAGGCGGGCGCCTCTCGCCCCCAGAGGCTTTGGTGGCCTGCTGGACTCCTTTTTCGGCCCGTCGCTCCTTTCAGGCTTCGGCGGCATTGCGCAAATGGTGGAGGAGGGCCGGGCCGATACCAATACTCTGCTGCAGGATGCAGAGGCTGCGTGCAGATCGGACGCTCGAGTGACGGCGCTGCTCGGCAACGAGATCGCCGTTGGTGGGGTCTTCTCGAGCTCGTCGTCGTCGATCAACGGACATAAGACTGTACAGCTGCAGTTCTCGCTCTCCGGCGGTGGCACCGGCAATGGCATGGCCACTCTCCGCGGCGAGTCTCAGGGCGGTGAATTGCAGCTCGTGTCGCTTCAGGTCACTGCCGCCGGCCAAGTCATTGACGTGCCTGTGGCGGCGGGTGGGGCCGCTGGTGGCCGCGGCGGCTGGAGAGGCGGAGACGGCGGCGGCGGCGGCGGCGGCGGCGGCGGCGGCGGCAGCGGCGGCGGCGGCGGCGGCGGCGGCGGCGGCGGCGGCCGCGACAAGATCATCGATGTTGACGCTTGGTCTGGACCGCTGACGAATGTATAGGCCACGCCGTCCACACGACGGGGGATTGCGCATGACGGAGATTGGTAGAAGGATTGAATGATGTGAGCAGTGGCGGTCGAGGTCAACGCTGTGAGAGCGGACATGCGCTCGTGACACGTGAGAGACGAAGAGCAATAGGCAAGATAGGTGTAGCGATGGGCAGGGATAGGCATAGGTACAGGGATAGGCATTAGGCACACGAGATTCCATGTAGTGTCGGCGTGTGCGATATCGCATATCGGGGGTCGCACGGGTGTGCGACGGCGCTTTACCTTAGTTGCAGCCTGGTATTGCAATTTATATGCCATGTAGAAACTAGAGAATGACAGCGTTCAGCGAGATGTACTTTGTGAAGGAAGAGGTAGACGCCCGAGGGTGGGCGACGCGGCTAGCACCACTGGCACTGCGGGCCACCACACTCCTCTCCGCTTAAAATCCCTGTGTGGTGGCGGCATGCCGATTGCCGTCCTCCCATCCCTTCCTTGGGTTGTCTCTTTTCTTTCTTTTCTCTTTACTTGTCAAAGCGACGAGTCGCAGTTCCTCCAGGGGTCGTTGTGGCGGGCCACCCCTGTCCAGAGAGGCACAGGTGTGCCAATCTGAGGTCTACGGGTCTTTTTCGACCGAGTCTAAGAGCCCTGCTGGCCGCCTCCCGGTGGTGGTAAGGTTTAGCTCGGCGGGGGAACTTTTAGGTAGGAAACACCAAAAAGAAAACAGCCGGGCGAGGGCCTCCTTCGCGCCACCGGCCGCTTGAAGCCACTCATGCCCAGCAAGCGCTCTCGCTCAGAGCCGCCGAGCGGATCCTCCGAGGGCGAGAACCGGTCTGTTCGCCGCTCCTCGCGCGAGCGCGCCGCGGTGCAGCGCTACGTCGCCGGCCCGGCGCACGGCGACAGCTACAGCTTTGAGACTGCGCGCTTCCACATCGTGCAGTGAAACCGATGCCGCCTGTCAGTCGCTGGCCAAGTCAAATCGATGCCGCGCCGGGCGAGCTCGTGCTCGTCGAGGGCTCGAGCTTCCCGCTCTTCGCTCACCTGTGGGACGCAAAGAGCTATTGGACCGTCCGCGACGCCGCGACCGGGCTGCTCGCGTCGGGCGAGATCACGCCCCGCGAGGCGCTCGCCGTCACGCGACCGTCGCTCTGGGCTGGCCACGAGACCCGGAGGGGCGGCGGACTCGCCCCGGCAGACTTCGCCAAGCGCGACTAGGACAAAAAGGCCATGCCCACGACTGCCCCTCCACGCTGCCCTGCTTAAGACAAGACAAGACAACTTCTAAGGGCAGTTCTCAATCTCTGAAGAATTCTTTTCGTAAAATATCTTCTTCTTCGTCAGTCCGCGCCAGTCTGCGCCCTTGTCGCCGGCGTCAAATTCTTTTTCGTGCTGAAAGGCGGACCGCGGGGACTTTCGCTACGCCAGGGAAGATAAGGACGTTGACGTGCAGCTGCTGCTGTTCGAGTCGTTCGGCGGGTTCGGGAAGGGGGTCGGCGAGATCCTCCGGAAGGCGGCGGACGTGCTACAGAACAAGCTGACGCGGGCCCAGTACCTCGATGAGGTGACTTTTGGTTCCACTAAGAATTGGCTGGGGCTGCAGAAGCAGCGTATCTCAGTCGTTCTTCACACGGCAATCGCAGAGCAGGTCGTGAATGAGCTTGCCTGTGGCGGGGGTGGGCGGGTGCACGGAGCTAAGTGCCTCGCCACCCTCGCAGGAGTCGCTTAGGCGGCTCCCGTGGTGTACCTGTGTTAGTGCCAGTGCGCGCCAGTCCCGTGCCCAGTGTTGTGCGAGGGAGCTTTGTTGTAAAATTCTTTCCAGAGGGCCAGGAAGCCGTCGGGCGATGGTGGCGGCGCGCTCTACCATCTGGTCGGTCGTGTAGCGCGGCGAGCCGCTCGGCCGGCAGGTGACGAGGATCGTCGAGGCGACGACGAAGATGGCACCTCGGGCGCCGTCTTCGGTGCCGGGCGCGTTGGGGTTGCCGCCGAAGGCCTTCATCCCGAACTCGAGCACTGAGCGGATCTTTGCACGGTACTCTTTGCACGGTACGTACCACGGGAAGCGGGAAGTCCTGGCCCCTTTTAGGTGAAGACGCTTGAGGCACTCGATCGAGACGCTGTCGCAGATGGAGAGATCGTAGTCTGCGGCGGGCGTGGTGATCCCAGTAAGAATTCTTTTTATATATTTTGTTTCTTCTTCGTGCTTAGGTTCTTCGTGCTTAGGCGGCTCCCGTGTTAGTGCCAGTGCGCGCCAGTCCCGTGCCTACTGTCGTGCGAAGATTTAAATTCTTCTTCCTGCTGAGAGAAAAAGAAAGAAAGAAAACAGGCAACCCAAGGGAGGGATGGGAGGACGGCACGCCGCCACACAGTCCTGCTGAGAAATAAATAAATAAAACGGGCGCCCAAACGAGGGGTGGGAGAAGGACAGGGTCCCCACCTGCGCGAGCAGGATCTTGTAAGGACGATCAGGGACACAGGGGAAGTCCTGCTGAGAGAGGTTTGTGGCGCGCAGAGAATTCTTCTTTCCGAACCAGCTGAGCAACAAACTTTCGCACGCTCAGCACCTGGACGAGGTCACATGGACCACCAAGAACTGGCACGGGCTGCAGATGCAGCGCTTGTCTGTCGTCCTCCACACCGCCGTGGCGTGGCAGACGGTGAACGAGCTAGCGTGCGGGGAGAGCGGCATTGTGCATGGTGCGGAGTGCATTGCCGTTCTTAACGGAGTCGCTTAGGCGGCTCCGGTGGTGAGCCTGTGTGTGTGCCAGTCCGCGCCAGTCTGCGCCCTTGTTGTGCCAGTGTGCTGTGAGAGAGGCTTGTCGCTCAAGAATTCTTCTTTCCTCTGAAAGGCGGCGGCCCAACATCCTCGCCATGTGGAGCGCTCTCCTCTTCTCGCTTGCCGTGTTGCGCGCGGCCGCTGCGCCCGCGCCCGAGAAGCAGGAGGCTGTCGCGGCGCGCGGCGGCTGGATGCCGTTCGCGCAGCAGGGCGCCGCCACGGGCGGTGGCTTTGCCGCGCAAGGCACCGACACCGCCTGGCGCTTCTTCACGGACCCGAACTTTGACTTCCAGAAGGAAGGGCAGGCGTACCAGGCGTCGGGCGCGGCCACTGGCAACGCGTTTGGCGGCCTCTCGCAGGGCATGATGCCCACCGCGCCGGCGGCGGCGGCGGCCGAGGCCCCGCCCGCCGAGAAGGAGGAGACTGTCGAGGGCGCCAAGGCGCGCGGCGGCTGGATGCCGTTCGTGCAGCAGGGCGCCGCCACGGGCGGTGGCTTTGCCGCGCAAGGCACCGACACCGC